CGCCTCCTGGGTTCAGGCAATTCTCCTGCCTCAGCCTCCTGAGTAGCTGGGATTACAGGCACACGCCACCATGCCCAGCTAATTTTTTGTATTTTTAGTAGAGACGGGGTTTCACCATGTTAACCAGGATGGTCTCGATCTCTTAACCTCGTGATCCACCCGCCTCGGCCTCCCAAAGTGCTGGGATTACAGGCTTGAGCCACCGCGCCCGGCCTGAAAGTAAACTTTTAATTGAAGTTTCACATACAGTTTCTATACATAAAAGCATAGAACTAATAAAGTTTGTGAAATGAATCCACCTATATATCTGCCTCCCTTCTACATCAAGAAATAGAATATTACTATCACCCAGAAGTCTCCCTTCTCTTTCCTCCCAAACACTCTTCCCCTACGGTTAACTATTTTTCTGGCTTTTATAAGTGTAGATTAGTTTTTCCATTAGAATACTTTACATAAATGAATCATACAATATGTATTCTTGTGTGTCTGGATTTTTTTCTTTTCAACTTTATGTTCACGAGTGTCATCCTTTGTGTGTGTGTGTGTGTGTGTGTGTGTGTGTGTCTGAGAAGAGCCTCATTCAATAGTTTTAAATGTTAAAAGGTTCTCTTTCTTTCTTTCATTTTTTCTATCTCTCCCTCCCTTTCTCTCCCCTGGTCTGCTGTTTCACCCAGGCTGAAGTGTAGTGGCATACTCACAGCTCACTGCAGGCTTGACCTCGTGGGCTTAATCCATCCTCCTGCCTCAGCCTCCAAAATAGCTGGGGTTACAGGTACGTGCCACCATGTCCAGCTAATTTTTTTTTTTGGAGACGGTTTCACCATGTTTCCCAGGCTGGTCTTAAACTTCTGGGCTTAAGTGACCTGCCCAGACTGGCCTCCCAAAGTTCTGAGATTACAGGTTTGAGCCATAGTACCTAGCTTAGTGTCATCCTTGTTGGTGTGTGTAGCAGTATTCTACTCATTGTGATTGTGCTTATATAAATATACCATAATTTATTACCCATTCTTCTGCTTATAGTAATTATTACAATGTACATTCTTGATATAATAAAAGTCTATCCTAAATTAGTTCTCTATTTCCCATCCAATCCAAGGACCTTACAATGCTTTAATTTCATTTACCTCTTTCCTGATTTTTCTGCTATTGGGGTTGTATATTTAATTTTATATGTATTTTTAGCCTCACAAGACATTGTTGTCATTGTTCTATACAGTCAATATTTGTTTAGACTTATCCACTTTTACCCTCTCCATGGTTCTTTATTCCTTCATGAGTTTTCACGCTTTTCTCTGGGATTATTTGCCTTCTGCCTGAACACCTCTGTAGTGTGGGTCTACTTATAATAAACTCTTTTAGCATTTGTTTATCTGAAACCTCTTTTATTTAACCTTCACTATTCAAGGATATTTCTCAGGTATAGACATCTAGGTTGGCAGATACTTTCTTTCAGAATTTTAAAGACATTACTATTGTCTTTTGGCTCCATAATTGCTTTTAAAAAGTCAGCTGTCTGTCTTATTTATTGTGCCTGTGAATTTAATGAAACTATTTTTAAGATTTTCTCTTTTCTTTTT